GGGGAATGAATATATGTTTGTAGTTTATTCACACTCTTAATCTATTTAAGCTCAGTGCCCCAGTGTCTCATAAAAGGGTGGCTGTGATGAGAAATATGTGCAAAGATGGGTTAGAGTTATAAATTGTTAAGACAACAAATGTATTTAAAATCTGAAAGTCATTAACTATCAACATGTATGTATGTATGTATGTATGTATGTATGTATGTATGTATGTATGTATACATTAATTATCTGCTGCTTTTCTAGCACCATGCATTGTCTTCTGGGCCTGAACAATTATGGTTAATGGGAAATAAGTGCTCATTTTCTAAGTGTCTTTTTGTACTCTCTAATCCTTAACACAACTTCAAGAAGAATAGTAGACATCCCTCCCTCCCTCCCTCCCTCTCTCCCACCCTCCCTCCTCCCTCCTCCCTCTCTCTCTCATTCCTTTTTCAAGATAGGGTTTCTCTGTAGCATGTCCTGGAACTCACTTATAGATCAGGCTGACCTCGAACCCACAGAGAACTGCCTGTTTTCTGTTTCCCAAATTGGGATTAAAAGTGTGTGCTACTGCCACCTGGCATTGTTTCCATTTTTAAAAGAAATAGAGGCTTAGAGATTTGAGTGACTTTTCCCTAGATCACAAAGAGCCCAAGAGAAGGGTCAAGAATGAGTGACCACTTGTTCTCACACTTAGGAATTCCATAAAATGCTGAATTGGAAGACATCATATAATCTCCCAGGACCTGGTGCAGGCCTGTGCAATTTCTGCATGCTGCCTCCATCTCTGTGAGTTTGTGTGGCCTTGCTCATTTTCATTTGGAGGACCTTGGGTTTTTCTTTTATGTTATCTCCTCTGGTTCTTACTCTTTCTATCTCCTCTTCCATTGGGTTCCCTGAGCTCTGAGGGAAGGAATATGATGGACACCTTCCATTTAAGGCTGAGTGTACAAAGGTCTGTCTCTGCATAATGTCTGCCTCTGGGTCTCTGTTTGGAAACAGCATTTACTGGACAGAAAAATTCTTCATGGATTGATTATGTGAACAGTTGTTTAGACATAATCTAGTAGGATTAAGACAGGGATTAAAAGTAATGTTACAGCACATTTGTTGTAAATTCAGCTGTGCAGTCATAGATGCAGGCAGTATTAACAGGGCGATTGGAATGGAATGCGTGACTTGCACCTACGAGGAATTTTGATGTTAAGATTTGATTACTGACTGGAATTTTGATGTTAAGATTTGATTACTGACTGAATTCAGAAAAAGGAGAAAAACAAGTTCTAGGTGATCCTAAATTTGGGCGCTACAAGATTATAGTACTGGTAAGTATATTATCAAAAGCAGGGAAGGGAAAAGCGACCTTCTTTGTTCATGGGTATCACCAAGTTTTAGAATTTGATCTAAGCGTGATCCACTGGAGATGTTTTAGGAGCCAAAGCCAACAAGATGCTATTTTTACAGGGATAAATGTAAATTCCTCCGATTAGATTAAGAAAGGAATTCATTGCACAAGCTCAGGATGTGGGTTATGTGCTTAACATTTAACATAGGTTTGTTATTGTTATTCTTGGCCATGCAAGGGATGGCTTATGCACAAGTAATGTGCCTCATTGTCAAGAATATATGATGTTAGACTACATTAATGAAAGTGTACTCATCTACCAAAGATTCCACCATCCCTGGTATTTGTGTTGTGAATTAATTTTTTTTTGTCATCCTAGGCCCTGTGTTTTCTGACAGGAGCACTCACAGTGATTAGAAAGTGACCAGTGTGGTCAAAGGGTCTGGAAACCATGTCCTAAGGAAAATAAATGGTTAAGGGGAAGATGGGTCAAATCCAGAGAGTATGATAACAGTTCTTCAACATACTTAAAGATTATGTAAGAGGAATGGGAATAAAACTATTGTTTATGGGTGCTGTGGGAAGAACGGGGTAAGAGGTACAGTGAGCTAGAATTTATTAATCATAGAAAAATAACAGTTGGCCAGTGAGATGGTTCAGCAAGTGAAGGTGCTTGACACTAATCCCGACAGCCCGAGTTTGATCCCTGGGATTCATGTAGTAGAAAGAGAGAAATGATGCCAGCTAGCTCTGCTGTGACTTCCACAATGATGCTTATTTAGGAGTTAATACTAACAGAAATAAATTATTTTTTGAACTTGTTGTCTGCCCTACTTCCCAATATTAGATTGTAAGAGTTCTTGAGTATCTTATTCATGACAATAATGCTAGCATTCAAGAGAGTGACAAGTAGGTAACAAATCCAAAATAAATATGAGTGAAGTAATGAAACATAGGTGGGAAGGACTTTTTCAACCATATCAATCCTTGACTTAGTCTTTGGAATTTTATAAAAATTTTGATAATTTTTTCTGAACCTTAGCATATTTTCATGGAGACAGAGTATGTGCCTTGCTGCCCAGCATTTAGGAGATGGTTACAGATTTAAAAACAACTAATGTCCTTTTGGGTAGGCATGGTGATGCACATATCCAATCAGCGATGTGTGAAGCTAATGCAAGAGGATTGTGATGAGTTTTGAGACCAACCTGGTCTATATTTTTATAGGTCAGTCTGGGCTACAGAATGAAATGTCTCCAAAAATAAAGCTTCCTTTTTAAAATAATAATATTTTTGAGGTTATGAACTATTTCTCCTCTTCTTTCCTCCCTCAAACCCCACCCACCCAACCCCTTGCTTTCTCAAATTCATGACCTCTTTTTCTTTATTACACACACGCACACGCACATACATACATACATACATACATACATACACACACACACACACACACACACGCACACGCACATACTGCATGTGTAGAGTCCTCTCCCCCACCACCTTGTGGTCTTGGAAATTGAGCTTGGCTGGGCATGCTTTTCAGCAAGTGCCTTTACCCAGAGCCATCTCTGTGCTGTCACAGTCACTAATGACTTTGTGTTGCAAAAACCCAGTGGTTGTTTCTTATGTTCCGATTTCACTTCACGTTCTCCTGGGATTTGACTTACACTTTCCTTTTTAGAAGCATTTTCATTTTCCTTCCTTGTGACTTCTGTGATACTGTATTTTGGAAAGACTTAGACATAGACTTCTGTAATTTACTAAGGCAGTACTATTGGGGGAACACACACATTCACACACACACTCATGTATGTGTATATTTTTTTCACACACAATTTTTTACACACATTTTTTACACACACATATACACACATTTTTTTTACACACACACACACGGAGGGAATGGGGCTGCTAAAGCATTGCAGAGTCCAAAGATGTGTGGTGACAATGAATTACACGGGTAATATAAAACTAAAACAGCTGCAGACTCTGTATTAAGCCTTTTCCCTCAAATTGTGAATATATTTTAACCCTACCTTCAAAATGAGTTGACTATGATGGCAATAATATTGTTGCAACTTGGACTCATGAACACATTCAAAAGAGTACATACCATAGCCAAGTTGATTTTATCCCAGGAACAAGATTGGTTCAGAAATTATCCAAATCAGTAAGTATAGCACAACACATAAATCACATGACCATCTCAGTAGATGTAGACAAGGCCTTTGACAAAGTTCAACATCCCTTATGAGGAATTGAGGACTACAAGGAATTATCCTTAAAAAAAGAAAAAAAAAAAAAAATCAAGACAGGGTTTCTCTAGCTTTGGAGCCTTTCCCAGAATCTGCACTGTGGACCAGGCTGGCCTCGAACTCACAGAGATCTGCCTGCCCCTGCCTCCTGAGTGCTGTGATTAAAGGCATAAGCATGCACCACCACCACCACCTGTGCAAGGAGCATATCTTAACATGTTGAGAGTTATGTGCTAAAATGTATACCTGATATTACGAAAGGAGAAATGGGATTTCTTCTAAATTTCAGGAATGAGACTGGGACACCTACTTTTATTCTTATTCAATACAGTGCTCAAAGACTTTTTAAAAATTATTATTGTTTCATTGTTATTTGAGACAAGATATCACTATATAATGCTGACTGCTCTGGAACTCACTTAGTAGACCAAGCTGGTCTCAAACTAATGTGATCCATCTGCCTCAGCTTCTCAAGTACTGAGATTAAAGGGAGGTAAGCCATCATTCTTGGCCCAGTGCTTGAAATCTTAACAGAGCAATACAACGAGAGAAAAATCAAAGAGATACAGAAAAGGAAGAAGTCAAAGTATTCTTATTTGTATGACATGATCATATGCTTAAAATATCCTTAATGACTGACTCCACCAAAAACCTTCGAGGAACTGATAAATACTTATGGTTAAGGAAATAGAATGTAGGGATAGCTTACCTAACAGTAAAAAAAAAATTCTTCACTAGGTACATCAAACATGAAATAACACCTAACATATAAAGAACTGTAAAATCAAGCACCGAAACACCAAATCTAATTAGTAAGTGATTAATGAACCAGACACTTCTCAAAGACCAATCATAAGTGACCAATAAATATTTGTAAAGTCTTCAGAAAGTATGAAAATGAAGGCTGCTTGTGAGTTCAGCTTACCTTACTCTGAATGGCAAAGATGTGGGCAGAAAGGACTGATTGTAGATATGCAGAATCTAGTGTGTGTGTGTGCCTGTGTGTGTGTGTGTGTGTGTGTGAGAGAGAGAGAGAGAGAGAGAGAGAGGAGTTGGCGAGGGGGCGGAGACCATAAGAGAAGTGGAAGTTGTGAGGTTGTGAGGAGGAAACAGCTGGGGTTGGGGAGAAGGTGATAAAATACATGTAATATAGGAGGAGACGATGTGTACCACAACTGGAGATGGCAGACGAGGGCTAGAGGGGAAGGCGGAGGGCTGTGTGGAAGAGGGGCGGATAGGTAGTTAATATGAAATACATACATGAAAATGCTGAAATGAAATTACTCTGTGCTAGCTTAAGGAAATGGATAAAAACAGTATCTTTATGTTTTCTTACGTTCTATAGATCTCAGCAGTCTTAGTGCATTTCCCATTTGGAGGTAGATAATGTACAAATACCTTAACTCTGTTTACAGTTGACAATACTAAATCTGGGAAACAACCTTTTAGAAGAAGTTCCTGAAGAGTTGAAATACCTTACCTCCCTGAAGAAGCTTCATTTGTTTGGAAACAGGATTTGTAGAATTGCTGCTGGAGTTTGTGGTAAGTTAGTTAAGGAACACTGTAGTATTGCATTTAACGCCCTGTGTTTAATAATTTGATACAGAAATGAAAAAGAATTCCACTGTGCAGAAATTAAGGAATTTCTGAAGCAACACTTTTCAATATTTAAAAAAAAATTGATAGTTGGTAGTGGTGCATGCCTTTATATTTTAATTAATTTTCATTTAAATTAATAACAATCTTAGTTTACATACCAATCCCAGTTCGCTCTCCCTCCTGTCCTCTCTGTCCCCCACCTACTTCCCATTCCACCCCCACCCCCAGGTAGGGTAAGACCTCCCTCTCATGGGGGATCATCAAAATCTGTCACATCATTTAGGGCAGGGCCTAGGTGCTCCCCTGTGTATATAGACTGAGAGATCCCTCCATAGAAAATGGACTTCCAAAGCCCATTTCATGCACTAGAGATAAATACTGGTTCTTCTGCCAGAGGCCCCATAGATTGCCCAGTCCTGCAACTGACTGCCATATTCAAGGGGCCTGGTTTGGGCCTATGCTTATTCCCCAGTTGTCAGACTGTGGTCTATGAGCTCCCCCTTGTTCAGGTCAGCTGTTTTTGTGGGTTTTCCTAGCATGGCCTTGACCCCTTTGTTCATTCCTCCTCCTTCTCTACAACTGGATTCCAGGAGTTTGGCTCAGTGTTTAGCTGTGGTTGCCTGCTTCAGCTTCCATCTGCTACTGGATGAAGGCTCGATGATGGCATTTTAGGTAGTCATCATTTCATTATAGAGGAAGGGCATTTAAGGTAGCCTCTCCACTACTGCTTAGACTCTTAGTTGGGGTCGTCCTTTTGGGTCCCTAGAGATTTCCCTTTGCAGATTTCTTGTTTAGCCCATAATGGCTCCCCCTATTAAAACATTTCTTCCCCTGTTCTTCCCCAAGTGGACCTTCCTGATCCAGTTCTCTTCCCACCTCTCCTTCTCCCCTCCTCTTCTCTGTACCAAATTCCCCTTCCCACCCCCTCCCCCAGGCTCCCAATTGCTTCAGGGGATCTTGTCCCTTTCCCCTTCTCAGGGGTCCATTTATGTCTTCTTAGGGTCCTTCTTTCCTTCTCTGGCAGTGTGGATTGTAGGCTGGTGATCCTTTGCTCTATGTCTAATATTCATATATGAGTGAGTACATACCATGTTTTTTTTTTTTTTTTTCCTGTTTCTGGGTTACCTCATTCAGGATGATTTCTTCTAGTTCTATTCATTTGCCTGAGAAATTCAAGGTTACATTTTTCCCCCCTGCTGAGTAGTACTTCATTGTTTAAATGTACCACATTTTCTCCATCTATTCTCCAGTTGAGCATCTAGGTTGCTTCCAGGTTCTGCCTATTACAAATAATGCTGTTATGAACATAGTTGAACAGATGTCCTTGCTTTATGAAAGTACATCCTTTGGGTATATGCTTAAGAGTGGAATTGCTGTATCTTGAGGTAGACTGATTCCCATTTTCCTGAGGAACCGCCATACTGATTTCCAAAGTGGCTGTACAAGTTTGCACTCCCATCAGCAGTGGAGGAGTGTTCCCCTTTCTCCACATCCTCTCCAGCATAAGTTGTCATTGGTGTTTTTGATTTTAGCCATTCTGACAGGAGTAAGATGTTATCTCAGAGTTGTTTTCATTTGCATTTCCCTAATGGCTAAGGATGTTGAGTACTTTCTTAAGTGTCTTTCTGCCATTTTAGATTCATCTATTGAGAATTCTCCATTTGATCTGTATCCCACTTCTTAATTGGATTATTTGGTGTTTTGGTAGCTAGCTTCTTGATTTCTTTGTATATTTTGGAAGTCATCCCTCTCTCAGATGTGGGGTTGGTGAAGATTTTTTCCCATTCTGTGGGCTGCTGCTTTGTCTTGTTGACTGTGTCCTTTGCCTTACAGAAGCCTCTCAGTTTCAGGAGGTCCCATTTATTAATTGTTGATCTCAGTGTCTGTGCTACTGGTGTTATGTTCAGGAAATGATATCCTGTGCCAATTCATTCAAAGGTACCTCCCACTTTCTCTTCTAAGAGGTTCAGTGTGACTGAGTTTATGTTGAGGTCTTTGATCCCTTTGGACTTAAGTTTTGTGCGTGGCAATAGATATGGATCTATCTGCAATCTTCTATAGGTCTTCTATCCAGTTATGCCAGCACTATTTGTTGAAGCTGTTTTCTTTTTTCTATTATTAATTTTAGCTTCTTTGTGAAAAAGGAGATGTTCGTAGGTATGCGGATTAATATCAGGGTCTTCAGTTTGATTCCATTGGTCTACCTGTTTGTTTTTATACTAGTACCAAGGTGTTTTCATTACTATAGCTCTGTACTAGCAGAGCTTGAAGTCAGGGATGGTGATGCCCCCCAGAAGTTCCTTTATTGTACAAGGTTATTTTGGCTATCCTGGGTTCTTTGTTTTTCCATATAAAGTTGAGTATTGTCCTTTCAAGGTCTGTGAAGAATTGGGCACATGCCTTTAATCTCAGCTCTCCGTAGGCAGAGACAGGTGGATCTTTGTGAGTTCGAGGCCAGTTGACAGAGTGAATTCCAAAACAGGCTGCAAAGCTACACAGAGAAATCCTGTCTCAAAAAACCAAAAAGATAAAAACAAATACACTTCTTGAAAATTTCATGCATGAATATATTGAGCTTTGATCAAATCCGGCCTCCATGCCTTCTCCTCCAACCTGCTGGTTTATAACCATTTCCCCACTGAGCAGAACAGATTCACCATGGTCACAAGCCTATCCCAAAGCTAACTCAACGGTAAGCTTTCCTTATGATTGTGATAGATGAAAAATTTTTTTTCTTAGAAAAATCACATGATATGAGACAAAACAGACCCACAGTTGAATAAATTGCTTCTCTTCTGTTGGTAATTTTAGTACTTTGAATTGGGTACTGTAATTCTCAAGTTGGAGCATTGGGGAAAAGCAATGTGACCCTTTTTTCCTTTGATTCAAGTAAAGATTAAGCTCCAAACATGCTTTCATTCCTAAATGGCAACAATTTCCAGGAGCTGGTTGTGTAATGGTAGGCCTGGATGATGAAGCTTACATATATCAGAATGAAAGGAGGAATTTGTCATTGAGAACTCTGCCATGTCTATGTCAGGCATTGTGGGGTGACTATACTCCAGTGGAAAATAGAGCCAGTCGGTTCAAAAGAAAACGGTTGTTGCAGGACAGACAGAAAGGCTGCCCCTGTGAATGCTGGGGTGGGGGGGGTTGGATGAGAAAGTGTACTACATCCTGCTTCTGCCTTTTACTTCTTAGGTCCAGTTAGTGATGATCCTGGTTCTATTCTTTGTCCTCAGATGCCTGGCTTAACTCTGTTATGATGTGATACATTTCCTCTTTTTGCCTTAGCTAGTTTATGAGAGTATCTGTCTTCAGCAACCAACAGAACCATGGCCAAGGCAAGAATCCAAAAGAAGTCAAAGGTGTATAGAAAGACTAAAGCTTTTCCCTGTGGGATGGCTAAAGTGACTTACTGTTTTCTGACAGATGGATTGCAAGAGTTGATTCTGCTTAATCTGAACAACAATCTACTTAAGAGTCTTCCTCAAGAAGTTGGCAGGTAATTTTATTTATAGTGAAGCTTGGTTAAATATTCCATTCCTCTCCTTGCCCAAACTCCATCCCATTCTTTAGGCCTAGCTCCAAGTAGTTGGCAGAGGGGTGGGGCATGGGGTGGAGCTGGAGGGTTTCAAATAGCATAGGGAGATCAGAAATGTGAAGCAACCCCTGAAGTCTTTTTTCTTTCTCTTTTGTGTGTATATGGCATATGTTTGTGTGTACACATGTGTATGGTATGTGCAGAGACCACAGTCTGATGTGGGGATGTCTTTCCCAGTCTCTTTCCTCTTTCTTTTCTTTTTTTTAAAAATTTTGTTGAGACAGGGTCTCTCACTGTCCTGGAGCTCATCCCTTGTGCTAAATTGGTGGAAGCAAGTCCCAGGGATCTGCCTATGTCTGACCCTAGCTCTGGGATTACAGACATGTGCCACTGAGCCAGGCTGGAGGAGGTACACACTCAGGTCCTCATTCTAGTAGAGCAAGCATTTTACCCACAGAACCATTGCTCAATCACTAAGTTTAAGCAAATAATTCCTGAATCACTTGAGAGAAATGAGATATATGTGGGTTATAGAAGAGTAAAGTTGGGGTATAAAACAGAAGGCCTTAAGGTGGTATTATTGATAGGCCAGCTCAGTTCTTGGAGCTTGCTCAGACACCGACTGGGGACATTAAATTTTATTTCACCGGTGCCATAAACCATTTTGAGTTTGATGAGAAAAGCATATAAGTTTGATATAAAAGGAAAGGATTTAAAATTACGATGTCATGTTTTTCTTCAATATTTATTTATTTATTACACATGCAAAGTTCTGCTTGCACGTATGCCTTCAGGCCAGAAGAGGGCACCAGATCTTATTAACCGATGATTGTGAGTCATCATATGGTTGCAGGGAATTGAACTCAGGACCTCTGGAAAAGCAGCTAATTTTCTTAACCACTAAGCCATCTCTCCAGCTCCACGACATTTTTACTAAATAAAAACTGACACATTTTATTCTCCTTAGTAACAACCAAAATATGTTGTTTTTCCTCATCCTGCACATCTGTGCAGATAGGCCATCGTTACAGTGTTTCTGGAGCCACTGAAGGCCTGTCCTTCCAAGGAGTATGCACTCTGGAGCTGTGTCTCTGACACATGGAGACAACTCTGCTCAGGTTGACTTTGGAGATTCTCCATTGCACATTGAACAGAAACATACACATTACAGAGTAAGAGCAGCTAGAGGCTTCAAAGAGACTGTGACATGAGCAGAGACACAGAACCATCCTTCCTCAGAGCCTAATGTGTTCCATTTCACTTGTTTCTACTTCTTCCCAAATCCTTACATAGAGGAGGCCGTACTCTAAGTGGAATAAATAGAAAAATAAAATGAATAGGGACTAGAGAGATGGAGCAGGTGTTAAGAGCACTGGCTACTCTTCCAGAGACCTGAGTTCAATTCCCAGCAACCACATGGTGGTTCACAACCATCTATGATAGGATCTGGTTCCCTCTTCTGACAAAGGAACAATCTAATTGCTATACAAGAGAAATGCTTAGGATAATTCAATTGCCAGTAGTTGCTTGCTTTGCTTTCCTATGATTTTAACTTACCAGTCAATTGGAGTTTGTACGGATGTTGTTACAGTGTGCAGAAAAAGACATGCAGAAATCTGGCGACTCGGGTTCAGGATAGGTCTTTGTGCAACTAGCCTTATTACCTTGGACTAGGTAGTTAACTGTTCTAGATCTTTCTTTCTCCCCCTTGTAATGTGAGAATTTTGAAGAGTGGAACTTTGGAGCCCTTTTCAGTTTGAGAAGCTGTCTATGTTTTCAGTTCAGTGTGCACTATTTAGAGACACATGCTGACGAAAAGTGATACACCAGAAAATGAAAGGACAGCGTTCATTAGGAAAAGTGGAATCTTAAGTCTGAGGCCCATGTGGTTTTTATAGCCAGCTCTAGGTCATCTGTATTCTTACCAGGCCATAGATCCAAGCTAACTGGTCATCTTTTCAAGTAGAGTTTCACTTCAGCATCCTGGAAAAGTTCTTACATTGAACAGGTTTTAATTTTATTTTTAAATTATGTATACATATGTATGGTAGTATGTTTAGAGATCTCAGGCCAGTGTTGAGATGTATGTGTGTCTGTGTGGATTTGTGCATGTAAGTTACAGGTACTTGGTGAAGCCTGTAAACAGAGCGGATTCTTTAATAAAGCTGGAGTTACAGGTACTTGTGAGCTGCCTGATGATGGATACTGGCCAGAACAGTGTGTGTCTTAATTGCTAAGCTATCTCTCTAGCTCCAGTGGGAGAAATTGCTTTGCCTTTCCAAACATTAGCACTTTCCATCTTTACAATGAAGGTGATAACATTTACTGTATAAGGTGGTTTTGTGGTGGAGTAGTATCTATAAAGGCTTTTTAAGATTCAGTCAGTTCTTGAAAGCTCAAGAGATGGCTAGGCAGTTAATGGCAGTGACTGCTCTTACAAAAGGTCTGGGTTCCTATTCCAGCACCCACATCCAGCAGCTCACAGCCACCTATAACTTCAGAACAGGTGATTTGCCTTCTTCTGGCCTCTATGGATACCCAAGCGGTTTCCTCCCGTTCCCAGCCCCAATTCCTCTTTTCCTCATTTTCCCCCATGTCTAGGTATCTTTGACTCTTCTCCTCTGCAAGTTAATTTCCTTCCTAGTTTTTGGTTTTCAAAATTTATTTTTTTTGTTTTTGAGATTATAATATAATTACATCATTTCCCCCTTTTCTTTCCTCCTTTCAAGTCTTCCCATATAACTCCCTTGTTCTTTTTCAAATCTGTAACTTATTCATTACTTGTGTTAAATATACATAATATATTTATACACATATACATAAATATATTACATACATATATATTTAAATATTCTTCAAATATGTATAAGATCTCATGGGATTTTAGTTTACATTTCACTGATGTCTAATGATGCTTCATTCACTGATGTCTAATGATGCTTCATGCCTTCTCATGTTCTTATCAGTTACGTCTGTGTTTCATTTCTCAATGCATCCATAATTCTATTTTTAAAAATAGTTTTGACTGAGTCCTTAAATTTCTATGTACATTTTAAAATTGATTTAACTTCTATACAAAAATTGAGTTTTCTTTGGATTTCTTATGGAATCTACATGTCTATATTGGTACTATAAGCATTTTTTCTTCACATGAACATGCTATAATTATTTTAACTACAGTCTCTTACATGTTCTCAAGTAGGTCTCTCGTTTCTTGTTAAATGTTTTCTTATTTTATGTACTTTTTATTATTATGTCATTGTAAGTGGCATTTCTTAAGCCTTTTCCATGCAGTTATTTATGGCTACATGTAGAGATACAATGGGATTTAAACATACTGAATTTTTACGCTCTCACTCTAATTGTAATACTTTAAAAGTTTTAAAATGTGATGTTATTCTTGAAGGGGTCAGGTTTTTTATTGTGAGCAACATAATGGCTAATTCTTTAGTAATTCTCTTTTTATTTGCTTACAGTGAAATAGGTTTCATTATGGAACTTTTTCAAACAAAAATTTGGTTTTGTCCCCCCCCACCTTTTTCCTGTCTCTCTTCCTCTTATATGCCTTTCCACCCCAGTAACATTTTCTGTCTTTACTTTTGTCAGAGTCCACCTAGTGTGTACTAAACTGTGTTGTTCAGAAGGGCATAGTTTGTGTTCCAGCCTATTTTTCATCTTCTGCAACAATTAAGCATTTCACCTGTTGCTACACTCTTTCCTTCTCTTTCTCTCTCTCCCTCCCTCCCTTCCTCTCCTTTTACTCTGTAGTAGTTGTTGGGACAGCAGTATAGCCTTGGCTGGTCTGGAAGTCACCATGTGGACCAGGCCGGCCTTGAATTAACGGGTCCACTTGCCTCTGCCTCCCGAGTTGTTGTGAATATAGACATTCACACTTAGCAGAATTCTCTTGTGCTTGAATCTAGATATTATATAGCTGTCTGATTTATATACTTTTAAAAATTAAGTTATGCCAAAGATCTTTATAGTAGTTCCAATCAGTTGACTTAATAAGATTCAAAGGTGCTCCAAGAAAAAAAATGACACATAATAAGAGACACTTTTACAATGGACTTTCTTTGTCTGATGATCTTGAGTCTCACACTTTTCCTGTTTCTTATTTTAGGCTAAGGAATCTTACCTGCCTAAGCATCAATCATAACCAGCTTACCATGATCCCTAGAGAGCTTTGTTCTCTTGAGAAACTTGATGAACTGCATCTTAACTACAATCAGCTCATGTGCATCCCGGAAGATATTAAACACTTGAAGAATCTTCAGCAGCTTTATCTGGTCAGGAACAACATTGAAGTTTTGCCAGAGGTAAAGAAAGAAGGGCCACCCGTTTTGTTACTGTTGCTGTTGGAGAAGAACTCAATTAGCATGATAGTATCATGAATGATAAAGCACTTCAAAGTTCATTTGTTTGGATAAAGAAAAAGGGGTGAATCATTTTCTAATACATTATAAATTATGTGTATGTGTACACATGTATATGAAGGTAATAGTGTGTTTATATTTGTGTTACTCTCCTCTTAGGCTCTATTTTAATTTCTCAAAGGAGGTCTGGGAGAATGAAAGGAGCCCTTTGAGTGAAAGATGGACCTAAGACTTCTGAAGAATAGTCTTAACATAAAACTTTCACTGCTTTTGTGACAGTTTATGTCAAAAAACAGTCTCTTTGGATTTGAGTGTGTTTACAGATAAGCAGATGAGTGAACAGAAAATAACCCAAGGCAGCTTTCAGTTTTATAGAGAAAGCTTTTTTTTTATTATTAGAAACAATCTTATTTTACATATCAATCTCAGTTCCCTTTCCCTCCCATCCTTCCATGCTCCCCACCGACCCCCCATCCCAACCCCTTTTTGCTCCCCAGGGAGGGTGAGGCCTGCCATGAGGGATAACCAGAGTCTGTTACATTATTTGTGGCAGGGCTTAGGCCCTCCCCCATGTATCTAAGCTGAGAGAGTATCTCTCCATAGTAAATGGGCTCCCAAAGTCCATTTGCACACTAGGGATAAATACTGATCCACTGCCAGAGGCCCCATAGACTGCACAGTCCTAACTGACACCATGTTCAGGAGGCCTGGTTTGGTCCTATGCTGGTTTTCCAGCTGTCACTCTGGGGTCCATGAGCTCCCCCTTGTTCAGGTCAGCAGTTTCTGTGGGTTTCCCCAGCCTGGTCTTGACCCGTTTGCTCATCACTCCCTCTCTGCAACGGGATTCCAAGAGTTTGGCTCAGTGCTTAGCTGTGTGTGTCTGCTTCTGCTTCCATCAGCTACTAGATGAAGGCTCCAGGATGGCATATAAGGTAGTTATCAATCTCATTATCAGGGAAGGGCATTTAAGGTAGCCTCTCCACTATTGCTCAGATTGTTAGTTGGGGTCATCCTTGTAGATCTCTGAACATTATCCTAGTGCTGGCTTCTCTTTAAATCTATAATGGTTCCCTCTATTATGGTATCTCTTTTCTTGCTGTCCTCTATTCTTGCCCTGATTCAATCTTCCTGCTCCCTCATGTCCTCCTCTCCCCCTCTCTTCTCCCCTTCTCTTTCTCCTGACTCCCTCTCCCCTCCCCCTGTGCTTCCATCCCAATTAGCTCAGGAGATCTTGTCCCTTTCTCCTTCTCTGGAGGACCATGCATGTCTCTCTTAGGGTCCTCCTTATTTCCTAGCTTTTTGAGTGATGTGGATTGTAGGCTGGTAATCCTTTATTCTATGTGTAATATCCATATATGAGTGAATACATACCAAGTTTATCTTTTTGTGACTGGGTTGCCTCACTCAGGATGTTTCTTCTAGTTCCATCCATTTGCGTGAGAATTTCAAGATTTTTTTTTTCTTCCCCCATTGAGTAGTATTCCATTGTATAAATGTGCCACGTTTTCTTTATCTATTCTTCAGTTGAGGGGCATCTAGGTTGCTTCCAGGTTCTGGTTATTACAAATAATGTGCTATGAACATAGTTGAACAGATGCCCTTGTGGAATGAATGTATATCCTTTGTGTATATGCCTAAGAGTGGAATTGCTGGATCTTGAGGTAGACTGATTCAAAATTTCTTGAGGAACCGCCATACTGATTTTCAAAGTGGCTGTACAAGTTTGCCAGCAGTGGAGGAGTGTTCCCCTTTCTCTACATCCTCTCTAGCATAAACTGTCATTGGTGTTTTTGATTTTAGCCATTCTGACAGTGTGAAATGGTAGGTATATCAGAGTTGTTTTAATTTGTGTTTCCCTGATGGCTAAGGATGTTGAGCATTTTCTTATGTGTCTTTCAGCCATTTTAGATCCCTGTATTGAGAATTCTGTATTTAGTTCTCTACCCCCACTTCTTAATTGGATTATTTGGTGTTTTGGTGACTAGCTTCTTGAATTCTTTGCATAGTTTGGAGATCAACCCTCTGTCAGATGTGGGGTTAGTGAAGATCTTTTTCCATTCTCTGGGGTGCTGTTTTGCCTTGTTGACTGTGTCCTTTGTCTTACAGAAGCTTCTCAGTTTCAGGAAGTCCCATTTATTAATTGTTGACCTCATTGTCTGTGCTAGTGGTGTTATGCTCAGGAAGTTCAAGGGTACCTCCCACTTTGTTTTCTAAGAAGTTCAGTGTGGCTGGATTTATGTTGAGGTCTTTGATCCATTAGAAAGCTTCTACTTACTTTTAAAAGCTTGTTTTTGTGAAACTTATTCAATAGGTGGAAGTCTTTATTGGGACAATTACTATTTAGGAAATGCATTTGAACCATACACTTAAATTTAGATTGATATTTTATGCTGTTACAGAAATAAGCCCACTAGGTCTATGAGCTGCTCATAATGACATCAGCATTTAAAAGTCTAACAAAGAATTTCAGAATTCATAAAAGAAGGCATACAGTTTAGAACTGGAGTGAGTGCTGGCATATGGAATTCTCTATTATGTTCCTAAGCATTCTACTAGAAGCATTAGTCCAGCATACTCCTTTGCATATTTGTGTGGTCCAGGATGCTCACGTGCTGACTGAATTCATAACCTTAATGTGATGGAGCAGGAAGTGCTGGCATTGAGGGGAAGATAGGTCACCAGGGTGAATTCCTCATGAATGAAACTGTCATCCTTATTCAAGAGGTTTCAGAATTAGGTATGCTTGTACATGCCTGCAATCTCAACATTCATGATCAAAAGCTCTGAAGCATCCTAGTTTGTATGTTAAGATTGAGGCTACCCTCAATACATGAGACCCTGTCTTAAACAACCAAACCAAACCAACCCAAACCAAACCAAGCCAAACCAAAACACCTTCAGAGACTTCATAGGACAGTACATCTTGTGACAGTACAGCAAGAAGTTGGCAGGTTCCAACCCATCATAGCCCTACCATGCTGGCACCCTGACCTTAGCCTTCTACATCCTGTAAAGATGAGAATACATTGTTATTGTTTGTAAGATTTGCAATCTATAGGTCTTCGTTGCAGAAGACCAACTTATCTCTTCTTCTGAAAATCTACAAGATATATTCACATATATTAAAAATACTGACAAGTCCTGAAGCCAGGCTTCTTAACTTTGTTAAATTAGAATTTCCTGAAGCAGTGCCTTGGCATTTGCCTTGGTCATAGTGGGCAAATGAAAATTGTTAAACATTTCATTGTAATTCATGTTCTCCTTAGTTTTAAGGAATGCCAACCTTTAGTTTTGTGCCTACTGTGTAATTTTGGATGTGTTTGCTTTTCTCTTCTGTCTAACATCATTTTCTTTTTGTTTTCATACTGGTATTGTGTGTTATAGCCTCATAAATTCCCTCCTCTGTGAGTCTTTTAGATTTGCTAGTGACTCAGGTCATCTAGGCAAATAAAAATTGTCCTTTACATTGGACATAGTGATTTGCTTGAGGATAGACATAAGACTTAAACTATGTAAATGGGATAAGTTCGATGGATATATGGTGATAAATGTGGTCTTTCTGCCTGCCAAATAGGAAGATCCACATCTAAGGACTAGAGAGATGTCTCGGTGGCTCAGAGCACTTGATGCTCTTACAGAGGACCAATTTCCAGCACACACAAAGTAGTTAACACCCATCCATAACTTCAGTTAACAGGGGATCTCTAGTTTCTGTGGACACTAAACACAATGTGGTTTACATACATGCATGCAAGCAAAACACTCATACACAGACACATATACAAAACTTAAAAATAATTAAAAAAATAAAAAAAATTTGTATCCTGGAATCTTCTTTGTCAGTCCTTTTTGTTTATTTTCTGATGTTTTAACACTCTTCTCCATTTACAGTTCTATCCCAGGAACAGTGTCCTCTTTATGGAACAATTTCTGTCCGAGACTGTGTCTTGACTTGGCATTTCCAAAGATGGAAATGTAAAGTACACTCAGTACTGCAGAGTTGTCATTTTTCCTCAGAGAACACAACTGGTGGTAGCATGCAATACAAAAGATGAAGACTATTGGATATGGCTAGAGATATACCATTCACCTAGGGAGAAGCTCTGCCACCAAAAGCAGAGCATTGCAGAAACATTTCTACCATAGTTGAAGTCACTTAATAAATTATACCACCATTTTTTAATTTAAAAAAATTTTCAAGTTTTTAGGTTTTAAAACCCCAGTTTTCATTTGCTTGTTAATAGAAATACCAGAAATAAGATGGCCCATAACAACCATGTGGTTACTGTGGTAACACACAGTTGCGATGACCATGTAGATAGAATCATGTATTTTTTTTTTTCTTTATGAAGAAAGGGTTGTGTTATCATAGTACTTAGGAAAAGATAGATGTAGTATAAGTCCTGATGAAATTATCATTACAGAAAGTATTTCAGTGTTATAGCTGTTTCCTGTTTCATGGGTTTCTACTTTAATGTAGGTAGTGTCTAAGAGTGATGACTGACAATTAGGCTGTTTGAGTTCACGTAACAATCATAGACATATATCATTTCTGTTTAGAAGAAGTGGAGAAATCAAAATACAAAGAGATCTTAGGAACTTGCATTTGACTATACTTGGTAAGAGTGAGAAGTGAGTTTAGACCTAGAAGCAGTTAGCTTAGAATATGTTATGTTGCTCTGGAGTTCTCAGAAGAAATGAGGATTTGTAGATATTTGACAGTCCTTAGAGATTTCTTTGGGGAAAACTGTTTTGATGGAGAGACACCTCTGTCAACTCTGAACTAAAAGTTAATGCTTAAAAAACTCTCCTTTGTCTTCTGACACAGGGACTTTGTCATCTTAAAAAACTAAGACTCCTGGACATAGCTGGAAATGTTATTCAGATATTTCCAGCAGGCGTAAGTACAGTCAATTTTTACTCTAACTAAAAAATCATCCTGTTTATATTATCGGGAATAGAAAATATAAGCAGCCAGTAAAAGCTGTAGCAATTGGAGTCTTGATGTGTACAATGACTCAAAGATTTTCTTTGTTCTAGAATTTCAGGACCCATTCTTTCTCGTCCTTTTCCGTGTGTTCAGTGCCTGCTGAACTTGCTTGAACTAAATGAATGCAGATTGTTATCATAAATATTTAATTTATCAGTTATGATTAAATTCTTTGGTTATTACATTTGGTCACCCCTGATTTTTGAAGAGACTGCTATCCTGGATAAAAGATTTTATCCCATATAATTAATGCAGAGGTGACCCTTTTGTTAGTTGTTCTTAAGCCATTAGCTATAAAAATGCACTTACTTTTCCATTTGGAACTGAATTTTGACTTTGTCTCATTTCAAATAACAGAGACAGTTCAGTTTTGACAATTTCTAACTTTGGTGAAAGAAATAGCTGTTTTTCACATTGCATTTTTATATCCAAGTGAACATGCTGGAACATTTAAGGAAATAACTACAAGTCGCCATTAATCTAGAAAGTATTCAGTAAATACCTGTGGATCCATTATTTTTTTTCCTTATTGGTTGATTCAAAGTGTAGTTTGTAGACATTTTAACCTAAGAAAAAATTATTTTATATTGAAAAGGATAAAAATATGAAATGAGTTCAAACTATGCTTTAGAAAACAATGCAATATTCTGATTGTGGGAAATATATTATAAAACCTTATCTTTTTAAAGTTAATTACTGCCTGATCATAGTTTCTGTCTATTCCTCCTCTTGCCCCAGTCCCTCTCCTAACCTTTTCTCCCCACAACCATCCTCTCCTCCTCCTTCCTCTCCAGAAAAGTGCTAAACGCCTTATCTTTTAATAGAACAGTCTTGATACAGTACTTTGGTGTGGTCCAACCTAACTCTAGAATTTAGTTAGCTTATCAACTGAAATGTCGTTAGACAAATTTCCAACCAGATAAATTTCTGGTTCTCTTGTTAGCATCTAGCACAGCATTTTACAATGAGGCATTTCTCCTTCTTTCGGGACCCATCATTCTACTTTCTGTCTCTGAAATTGATTACTTCGTGCATTCCACAGAGGTAGATTTAGCCCTTTTGTGGAAGGCTTGTTTAATTTAGCACAGTGTCAGTCAAGTTCATCCCTGCTATAAAGAGTTGGGTTTCCCTTTTTTTCTTCTAGACCGCATTATAGTCGCTCATACCACATGTGTGTGTACAGTTTGCTTATCCATTGTTCTGTGGATGGACACTTGGAGTGTTTCTGTCTCTTGCTTAGTATGAGAAGGACTGCTGTGAGCACTGAACTTTTGTTCACTAAGTTTTAGTTTTTCCTTTCAGCTTCTCTAATTATATACTGAGAAATGGAATTACTGAATTACATGGTCCTTCCCTATATTGTTATCTTGGTGCCACGACAGAACACCAGACAGAGCATCTTAAGGAAGAAGGGTTTGTTTGTTTACAGTTCAAGGGTGCAGTCCATCATGGTGGGGAAGTCATGGGATCAGGAGGGTAAAGCATGTGCTGTCATGTATCCATAGTTGAGCGCTAGTGTTCATCTCTCTCCCTATGTAGTCTACTGTTAATCTCTCTCCTATGTATTCAGGGGCCCAGGTATCTCTCTTATTTATTCTAGTGCTCCTCTCTCTCTCTCTCTCTCTCTCTCTCTCTCTCTCTCTCTCTCTCTCTCTCTCTCTCGTATGCTACTGTTTATATCTCTTAGGTATTTTGTGCTCGTCTCTCTCTCTTATGTATTCTGGGACCCAGCCCATGCAACTGCCTTCAGACTGGGACTTCCCATCTCTGTTAACTAAACAACCCCTCCCAAGATGTCCACAGGTGACCCAGTCTAAGTAACCCTACACAAATATGCCCAAAGTTTGCCTTCTTGGTGATTCTAGAGCCTTTCAAATTGGCAATAAAAAAAAGTCACTTTGAAAATTCTGAAGCAGATAATTGGGAGCAGAGCTCAGATGAGTTTCATATACTATCTTATTTCAGAGGGATTATAGAAATTTCTGAAAGTGCATTTGGCATATATCATGTCAAAGGCACACTAAAATTATTGAAAGCAAGAGTATTTATAAACAAAAAAGTTGGTATAGAATCTCTTTTTAGAAGAATATAAGTTAATGGCAATACTAAGGTGGATGCTCAGTGTAGCTGAAGAACAAACACTATATAGGTTTGTTTATTTAATAAGTGATATTAAGTTGAAATTCAAGAGATGTCTGAGTTCACATTCTAATATGAACACAGACTTGAAAAGGGTATCCCTTTAGATGGCCTTTGCTACAGTGGTACCACAGTAGATGTGACATTGTAAGGGTGTTGTGGAAGGTACAGTTGTATCACACTGTGCACAGAGTTAAATCAAGACTCCAGTAAAATAAACCATGGAGTCTTTACCAAGTCTTTGCTGAAAACATGTACTCTTTCATATAATTTGAAACTATAAATTTTTAACAGCATAGTAAAGTGAGATAGTGATGTTATGTTAAGGGAAGCAGTCTCCTGTACCAATTTGTTCAAGGGTACTTCCCACTTTCTCTTGTAAGAGGTTCAGTGTGGCTGGATTTATGTTGAGGTCTTTGATCCATTTGGATTTATATCTTGTGCATGGAGATAGACATGGATCGATCTACACTTTTCTACACACCAGCATCTAGTTATGCCTGCACCATTTGTTGAAGATGCTTCCTTTTCTTTGTAGCATTATTTTAGCTTCTTTCTCAAAAATCAGGTAAGAGGTGCTTTTAACTGCTGAACCATCTTTCTAGTCCATCACATGCCCAAATGTGATTTTAAATCAAGAGTTTTTTTTTATACAAGTAATAATGTTAACTGGAAAGCTCATTACAAGTCTGCGCCACCATAACCTGCTTAGCAATTTTCTGCTTATAGAGAAATTTGGGACTGAGAATGTAGTGCAGTTGTTACAGTGCTTGTTTAGCAGGCCTGAAACCTTGTTTCATCCCCAGCACTTCTATGCCTGTGTGGTGGCACACTGCTGTGGTGCTAGCGGAGCTAGGACAATCAAACATTTGAGGTCATCCTTGGTTGCGTAGCAAGCTTAGGCCAGCCTGGAACATAGGAGGTCTTGTTAGACAAGCAAACCAAACGCAAAACAAAAAGTGAAGCTTTAATAGGAGGAAACGTTCATCATATAAAAGGCATATCCATATGTATATGTAGCAACAATTAATGAAAACAGAGACCATACATTTGAAAAAGAGCAAGAGGGGCTATGGAAAAATTAATTCTTTCTATCAACACTTTAGAGTTGTTTAGTAATTTACAAGTGTTCGAAACAAATTTTCATGTGTGCCAGGCAGTGGTGCTGCACACCTTTAATCCCAGCATGCCATAGGAAGAGCCAGGTGAGTTTGAGGCCAGCCTGGTCTACATAGCGAGTTCCAGAGCAGCCAGGGCCACACAGAGAAATCCTGTCTCAGAAAACAAAAAAACAAAACAAAACAAAAAAAAAAAAAAAAAAAAAAATCTGATGTTGTGCAATCCCCTGGAGAAGCAGACTGGGCATCATACCTATTTAGGACTAAATGTCTTGATACTCCAGAGAAGTCATTAGAAGTTGCCCTCCAGCTTGAGTACACAGTAGAATAAATAGTTCAAGCTTACATTTTCTCATGTCAGTGTGATAGCCTGCAGCTTTTCTCTCCCTCCTTCATCCCTTTCTCTCTTCTCCCTTCCTCCCTCACTGCCTCCCCCTGCCCCCGTATATTAAAACATGTGCCTGAAAACCTTGGGAAAATACAAATTCTGAAATTTTCTCGGAAGATACATCTGCATTCTTCTGGTCTAATTTTGCTATGTAATAAAATAGGGACAATCAACTATGCCTCTGGAAGAGCCCCCATTCTCAGATCTTTTCCTTTAGTTCTCTTGGTTCCTGTAATTCTCTTTCCACTCTTGAGTAGAACACTAGGCTCTTCAGTTCTCTGTTTCTGTGTGTCACTTTCCACTCTCCAGTAAACACGAGGTTTCTAATTGCGAGACTGTTTCTGAAAATAGGGCCCCGTGGCACTGATCTCCAATCTCCTTAGACTTTCTCAGACTGTTGGGAGCTAGTTATCTTGATGTCCTTTTCTGTTTTCAAAAGAAAGTGACTTCTCTACCCATAGCCGATGATGCCTGGTTTTGATCTGCTCTATTCTGAGAAAAGTTTGCTGGGTTGTCCTGGACCCTAGATTCTGGCTTGATTACTAGATACTGGGGATTATTTACTTTAATCTTCACCTGATACCTGTCTGATGCATGAAGCCTAAATGTTTCATGGATGTTTCCAATATCTTTAGTTATTTTATATTTTTGTGCTTATATAAAGTAAAGCAATTCACCTTATTAATTAATGCATTTATGTATGTTTGTGCATGTGTATGAATTTGTGCACTTGTCTGTGGAGGCTAGAGGTTGAAGTCAGATGTCTTCCTCTATGATTCCAATCTTATATATTAAGTCGAGGTGTTTTATCTGAACTGAGGGCTCACATAATTTGGCTAGTCTAGCCAGCTGGCATGCTCTCAAGAACCTCATTCTCCACCTTCTACATGCTGGCATTACAGGTAGGTATATTTGTTGTACTGGAGATCCTAACTCTGGTTCTCACCCTTGTGCTATAAGTTCTCTCCCTGCTGAGCCATCTTCAACCACCCCTGTTTCCTTTTGAGTGACTCTTTTATCATTTCAAAATGAGCTTACATTCATTCAATAGAGGAGTTTCTTTATAGACCAGTTATAAACTAATATGTTCATGACACACATGTAATCCTAGGAAGACCATTTAATTTAGTTTATAAGGTTATAAGGAACTGTGAACTGGAGTGCTTGGAGCATTGCTGTTATATTACAAATATGTCCATGCCCATGACAAGCATGTCTTTAAGAGTCTAGAAAACATAACCGAGTTATGGGAAAGAGACTCTTTT